CTCCTTCCTCAAGCGTGCTGGCGAGCCCAACATCCCCATTCAGGCTATCGGTCTGTCTCTCTACGAGGACTTGGGTCGTGGTGACCCCGAAGAGGTTCCCGGAACCAAGGTGACCCGGACACAATGGCTCGATCTCAGTTCTCTCGAGATGGCCAATCTTATTGGCAAGAACATCCTCATCGTCGACGAGGTCGATGACACCCGGACAACCCTGGAGTATGCAGTCCGTGAGCTGCAGAAGGACGTGGAGATTGCTCAGAAGCAGCTGGGCCGTGAGGCCGAGAAGACGAACTTCTTCGTCTTTGTCCTTCACGTATGTTCTTGATCGTCAATTTTCTAAGAAAGGCGATTTAGCAGAGACGTTGGCTGACTTTCCGTTAGAACAAGAACAAGTTGAAGAAGGGCGAGTTGCCTGCGGATATGATAGAATCTGGCCGTTATCACGCCGCAGTCACAACTGAAGATGTGTGGATCTGCTATCCCTGGGAAGCCAAGTATGTACTGGACTGATGTCGCCTTCCTCGTTTTCTCGGTCACTAACGGAGACTCCAACAACAGGGATATCGAAGAGCACGACAGACTGGCCATGGAGAACCCCCTTGTTTAAGGTTCCAGGTCGAGAAACTACATTGTATGATTGCTTCATACATTTGGCTTTGCATAAATTGCCCGCTTTTTAGCACCCTTGCATATTTTCTTTCATTTTGCTTGCACATATAAAGTTTTCTGTTTTATCTTTACCGAGCTTGATGAAGTTCATGTTGGACATGTCACGTTTATGAATGGTGTTTTGAGAGGCTCTCCGGCAGAGGAAGCAATGCATATCAAGGCCCGTGATGGGAGGTCTGACTTATATTTGATCGTGAACGAATCAAACACAAGAAAAAGTTATTTCTCATTCTAAGTTCATGAAATCTAGAAGACTCATAGGCATCGGTAGGCATTCTTGTTTGACGTTGGTCTATTCGGTCGATGTCATGCTTAATCTAGTATGGATCGACTTGGGACAGTGTGATTCTCTAGACCAAATATCATAGATCACCGAGCCCGGGAGATAGACTCTTATCACTCCAGTCTCTCCAAAGTCTAACGAAATGTCATCATCTTTGTATCGAGCTTTGCGCGAGAGCGTACTGGAGTCATCATTTCAATCTAGTTAGAAGCGCGAACAGGCAGAGCTTGAGCTGATGAAAGCACATATCCAACAGATTGCTAATACCTGGAAGCAACATCGAGCAAACACAACAAGGATACATCTTAGTCAACGTCAACATTCTTGCCGCGCAGGTCGGCCCTCGCCTGCTCAATCTCCTTCTGCAACTCCTGGTGTGCCTCGGGACAGTCGTTGAACGTCAGGATGGCCAGACCGAGTCGGCCACCCAGGTAGCAGGCGAAACATATTAGGCCGTAGAAGGGAAGCTGGTGAGCAAATCGCGTAAGTGTCAGCGGGCAACTTGGACAAACTGTAAACAGCGAGCGGAACCGCGGCAGAGGAACGTACAACCGGGATAATTTCATTTTGGACAGTTTCGTTCAGGGGTACGAGCCCCAGGTATAGGACGAGGTAGAGCTAGATTGGGGCAGGTATCAGTAGAATTCGGCATTTGGAGCGGGAATCTGCCACGTACAGAAGACACAAGTAGGAGGATCGAGAGCGTTTGCTGAGCGCGCGTCATGGTGAAGGAATGTGGTGGTTGACGTGGGATAAAAAGAGATAGGTGGATATTAAATGAGAGTATATTATTGAGCGTTCAAGCCAGGCGCAAATGAGACGAAATGAAGACAGCAGGAAGAATGAAGGACTCAGGGTCGAACTGCCACCGTGGAGTTGTCTACTTTATCTCCCTAACTTATTGCATCTGTCTGTACCTTAGTTCTCGGTACCTTACATTTACTGGCTGGATACGGGCGGCCGCTATGTTCTCCGAAACGCTACCTAGCACTTAGGTACTGTACCTGAGGTTGTTATGTTTCGAGGACAATCGCAACTAATCAGAGAAAGTACCAAACCGATCGTTCTGCACTCAATCGGAGGAGCCTTAAAGAACAGCCGGCAATATTTCATTTTGTTATGGCTCGAAAGGCTCTATGAGAAGAGAGGCCTTGAACCGAGGACCTGAGATTGTATGGTAATAATAAATTACAGTATGAACAACCCGGACGGAAGCTCACTTAGCTAGGTACCTCAGGTTCGTCTTGATCTGATCCACCTCAGACTATCATCGATATTATTGTAGACTTTACTTAGACCGAAGGGTACGACACATCCACGGTCCTTCAGTGTCCTGCTTCCTATTTGGTCATCTGGGCCATCCAGAGCGAGAAAAATAGCCCCGAAAAAGGGATTAAGGTGGCAATCTCCTGACAGCTTTCTTAAGTACAGACACGCTTGCTTGAGGACGAGGCCTTCTTGCCTTGCTGTACTGTCTGCGGTATACCTCGTATTGACAGGAGAGGCTATTTACGCAACCGCTTTCGAAGATATGATCGCCGACAGCAAGCTGGATGTGGTTCAAACGACTGGACCTGATGCTGAAGATCAATTTGCGAAGGAGACGTCCAGCCAGGCAGAAAAGAACATGGACTGTCCTTCATTGGGCCAGATATTGTCAAAATTGAGTCCAGGACCGTCAATTCTACCGGTGCAGACAATTTCTTCGGTCCCAGCTGACGAGCAAGCGGCCCTTTTGCGGCGCTTAGAAGATGCGCTTGCAGAGGCTACAGGCGGTGCTGAGAGCTCCGAGGAAGTGCAGACCATTCTAATTGAACTCTGGAAGTGCCGGTCGAGTTATCTGGCGCTAGCAGCTGATGCTCTGGCAAACGGGAGTAGAAACTGTGCGTGGTCTTGGGCTGTTTCATCATCGGAAGATACTGACTGTCGTCCGCTTAGCATCCTGGAGACTCCCATACGGGCGAGCTGGCATCTTGAATTTCTTCCTTCAGATCATCGCCTTGAGAGAGTTTGATGACAATGATGTACTCCTTCATGCTCTACGGTTGGTCGGCAATTCCTGTGCTGACACTGGTAAGCTGCATCATTGATGAATGACCGAAGTTACGGTAATTTTGACCTTCTCCAGATGAAAACAGAGCCCTTGTTGTCAAGGATAACTATACAGCTGCTATTCTCAACCGTCTTAGCCCAGATCTTGTGCATGTCGTGATTCCTGTTATATACAACATCTGCATCGATTATGGTCGGTATATCTTCCAGTATTAGGCTATGGGTTCTAACAGTTATACAGAGCCAGCCCAAAGTCAACTGGCTGCGAACAAACTAGTATATATCCTTTTGAGACTGATCAAGGATGGCGTGCTCGAAGATAATGAGGCGCTTCTTGACTTCTCTTACGAACTCATCGAGCTGCTCGCAGAGCAAGGTAAGGATCTACCTGTCATAGCCGCGTTTCATGCTAACATTATCGATGTGCAGAACAAGGAATCCGAGAATCGCCAGGGGGGACAATTCTACTTCTCTTGGATCTTTTGTCTGAGGAGGGAGTTGCTCTCTCGCGATTTGTATGCCTTGCTAATTGTCTTATGACCTATCTGGACAAGGAACGATTCCAGAATATTTGTGTTGGTCAACGGATGGTTGAACGAGTGTTGTCCGTGCTCAAACAGTCATTATATATCAAAGCAGACCCTTCGTCAAGTGGTGATACCCAAGCGTTGGCGCAGCTCCAGCTGAAGATCAACCAAACACTTTCAGAAGTCTCTGCATCACCCAAATTCCCCGAGGTATATCCCTTCGAGTCTCCTCTCGTTCAGACCTTGAAAGATTGGCTATCTTCCACGGAAGACCAACTTCAAATCTGTTCATGTGTGATGCTGGGCAACTTGGCACGATCGGACGCGGTGTGCGAAGCGATGGTGCGGAAGATGAACATACAAACTATGTTGATATCGATTCTGAGATCTGATGCTAGAGGCGCGGTTCTCCATTCCGCACTTGGAATTCTGAAGAACTTGGCTATAGCTGGCGATAACCGACAATGTCTGGGTGATGCTGGGATCATTCCTGCAGTCTCACGTCTATGGGAATACGAGACGGTTCCTCAAGTCCAATTTGCTGCAACAAGCATTGTTCGGCAAGTCATCATCTCATCGATTGCGAACATTTCGCGTCTCTTGGAACTTGCTCCTACTGGCGAGAACTCCTCGTCCTCCCAACAGACATATCTCTCATCGTTACTCTCTCTGTGTGAGAAAACGGACTCCACACCAATCAAAACGGAGGTTGGGCGGATCGTAGCTTCAATTTGCCGCACAATTGTCCCAAAGTCTCGCGAAGCGGACAGCGAGGCTAGCACTCTCCTTGAGCGTCTGTTCACTATGCACGAGGGTGTCGCGCTTCCAGTTGGTGCTATGATTGCTCAATCGCAATGGCCTGTGGTCAGGAGCGAGGGCTGGTTCGCCTTGGCTTTGATGGCTTCGAGCAAACATGGCACTGCCGCCGTTCTCCACTGCCTGCAGAAGCTGGACTTATACCCGTTATTGGAAGAGACCATGAGCACGCCTGCTTCTGACTCGGCGGATGAAGCGGACAAATTCAAATCAGCCAAGGATCGCGATAATATCGTTGTTCTTATTCAAGAGCTATTGAAAAATGATGTAAGTAGTAATGCCTTCCTCCGCATCTGCAAGCGTCTACTAATGTCGAAATCTCTGCAGGCTAATGCACTCTCAGCTTCCCAGAGAGCCACGTTGGAGATGCTCATGCATAGCCATGTCTCACAGCATCTGCAAGGGACAAGACTGAATTCAGATCCTGCCCCTTAGCTCTCCGATCTTCAATATCGAAGCAGTTTCTAGATATATGGTTTTGGGTTTACATGCCAATTGTTAGACCATGCTGGTTAACCCCGACAGTCGGATTCGTTTGTCTATTTTGGAAAAGGAGTCTATAAATAGGGTATAACTATCCTATATCTGGTCTGTATAGATGACATAAGAATCAATGATGCGTGACCGATCCATTACTCCGGTACACGAGTTCCTCAGAAAACTTTGGGACAAATCATTTCTTTCGCGTACGCCTCGTACCGTTGAAGAATATCGGTAGAGTCCAGATCTTCGGCGCCTGCGTACGCCGAGTAATGTGCCGCCAACCCTTTGCCATCGATGATAGTGCGTTTGGTAGGCTTATTGGCATCCTCGATGAATCCGAATGGTACGTAGGAACTAACGTGCAGGATGTTGGACTGCACGGCATTCGCATCAGCATCCCAGAAGCACAGAAGATTCGGGCTGACGTCTCCAGGATTGCTCCATTTGGGGAATTTGTATCGGTGAAGTTCGTCCAATTCAAGGTGGTGCAGGAAAGAGTAATGCTGTTGAGCTTTGACAGTCCAATCCGTAAAGCCCGGTCCATCAGTAGTGTACATGGATGTGCTGATCGGAGTCCGATCGACCTGTTCATCATCTGAAAGGAGCCAGCGATGCTTGTTGCCGGGCGGAGCAAATCCTTTTAGGACTCGGAAGTCTTCTGGTCCCGTCCACGGCGGAAGATTTGAAGTACGCCAATCTAGATCTGCTGCAGGTGGCAGTTGCGCAGCTGCCGAAGCCTGATGAAGAAGTTCTGGGAGGTAGGGCAAAGCAACCCCAGAATGACTGTGAAGTGCCTTAAGAGCTGCGTGGTTGATGACATTTGCAGAGACCGCTAACGAATCCGGGTTGTCGAGCATTGTTCTGACAATGGTTGGAATAGTGTGGTCTTCCAGAAAGACAACATCGCCGTCCAGCCAGACGAACAGCGTACGACTATTCGGTTCCCGGTAAACATCAGCAGGTGATGTCCAAACCCTGTAGGCGGACGTCTCTTGGACAATCGAGGCCAGCCATGCAAGACTCGCCGTATCATTCGACTGCGGAATAAAAACCACTTTGTCAAGGAACCCATGATTGTCGGCAAGATTTTTCTGAGACTGATCAGTTCAACCAGTTCGTCACAACAGGAGAAGATCCAACAATACCTGCAGATAACAGTCCAAAACAGACGTCTGCTCATGATGCTTGTAGGGTACCAGTGCAACGATGTCAAACCCCGCCGGTTTCTCAAAATGACCAACTCTGTGGGAATACGCAAGAAAGGGGCCGGAGGAGCTTCTGTGGGATAGCAGTGAAAGCAGCCCTACTTCAATGAGTGAAGGATAACAGCTGCATATGCTGATGAACACAATGAGCATGCTGGTATAGGTGATGGCACCCCACGTCAGTATAGTGGTCCATGTCAGGTCTCTCGAGACATCCTCGTTTTGCAATTCTACATCGCCGAGCTCTTCGAGGCGACTCATACTGGACTGGCATGACCGTGCCTCAAGGGCATTCAACAGGATCAAGCAGGGGAAGTCTCATGCCTGAAGACCAATGTCTGATGTCTCCGCCTAGGTACTCGTCTAGATACTTAAGGCATGACGACCAGCAAACACTACAGCCAATGGTCAGCTATAGTGGGGTGTGAAAACATTGCTGTTTCCGGGCATCGCAGCACAGAGACAGAAAAACTCGGTCAGTTATCGTCTTGACTAAGCAATATCTACAGAAACGGCGAGAGACAGCCTGCGCCGGAACAGGCAATAATGGTGGTAATCTGGAGTTTGGTAACTGGAAACGCCTGGATTCTGGAATGTGGCCCATCGAAGAAGAACTACCTTAGATAATTAATTCAACAAACCGACCGTAATATGGATCCGGACTAGGAGGGATAGAGTAATAGCTTCTGAGCTCTCATGTCAACCCTCATTCCATGAATCATCGTGACGATTGGAGAGGAAGGAAATGTTCCTGATGCGATGCTGCCGATGACGTCGTGACACGTGCGGCGCCCGCCTCGGGTTGGTCTCTCTCCGGTCCACCACCAGGCAATATCACATCAATCTTCTCATGGCGGCCTTCAGCTTCACCCAGAAGCCTTGATCTACTCCTCGATGACTTTCCTGGGTCCGAAAAGGCTTGCCCTTGCATGATAATATGAGGACGGCCACCCTCTTTGGCCGTTTCTTTTGGTGCCGAGGTGGTGGAAGTCCGCAACTACTAACTCGCTTTGCAACGCCATTTCGGTTCCGCTCGAAACATACGCCATGGCCTCCAGGTCCGTGGAGATCATTTCACAGGAAGGCGCCCGTTGGAAGAACGGTCCTGTTTGCGGCTCTGACGCCGGGCGCCTTCTTAGAGTTGGCGGAGAACGGAGATGGTCATGACAAGACTGGCGAGATGCAGATGCTAGAAGTTTCGCGTCAAGAGATTCGAAAAAGTGTCTCCGAGGATGCACGGGGCTTGACGAAACTTTGTCAAGAACTCTTTGTCTTTTGGTACTGCTACATATACGACCCAATCGCTACGGGCTTTCGGTTCGTCCATTTGGCGATTGTTTTCATTCCTGTCATCATTACAGTGCCTGCTATATGGTTTGGACGGCGGCTCGAAGATGGAAAGGGGGAGCGGGCAGGAGCCGTTTGGTGGTACGGCTTTTTAGTCAGGTCAATGGAGCGTGCTGGCCCAGCCTTCATCAAGGTGAGCGCCCATCGTACATGAGTTGGCCACCATGCGCTTACTGACTACCATTCCTTTCCAATAGCTCGGACAATGGGCTGCGTCACGCACCGATATCTTTCCGCCGGAAATGTGCAACATTATGTCTTCACTACACTCTCACGCTCCTGCGCATTCATTGCATCAGACTAAAAAGACGATAAGCAAGGCTTTCAACGGTCTACCATTTGAGGAGATTTTTGAGGAGTTCTACGAGAAACCGCTAGGAGTTGGGGCTATTGCTCAAGTATACAAGGCAAAGCTCAAACCGAGCCTGGCTATGATGGACGACCAGGCTCTGACACTTGAGGACAGAAGCTTCCGCGGAAAGGTAAGAAAGAATGTCGACGTTCTGGTAAAGAGTTCGCCGCGACGGGTTCCGTCCTCGTACGTGGCCATTAAAGTGCTCCATCCAAAGGTTGAGCGCGTGATCCGAAGGGATTTGCGAATCATGTCTTTCTTCGCATCGCTGATTAATGCCATCCCCACAATGCACTGGTTGTCCTTGCCGGATGAAGTACAGCAGTTTGGTGAGATGATGAAACTTCAACTGGATCTCAGAATCGAGGCATCCAACCTTGTGATCTTTCGCCAGAATTTCAAATCACGAACCACCGCTTGGTTTCCCTACCCATACTTGGATTACACCACGCGCGAAGTGCTTGTCGAAGAATTTGCCCAAGGGATCCCCTTGGCGACTTTCCTGGACGTTGGAGGGGGTGTTTACCAGCAAGAGATCGCAAACGAAGGTCTGGACGCGTTCCTTCATATGCTTCTGATCGACAACTTTGTTCACGCTGATTTGCACCCGGGGAATATAATGGTCCGATTTTACCAACCGGCTGAGTTGGACTTATCACTCGGCAAGCGCAGTCGGGTTTCAGATGCGCCAACCGCCGCCGAAGCTGATGTGACCGAGACTGTACTGGCCCGGTTGAGGCCGCACGCCCATAACCGGGAGGCCTGGAACGCTGCTCTTTCCCAGCTGAATACTGAGGGCTATCGCCCCCAGCTGATTTTTATCGACACTGGCCTAGTGACCCAGCTCAACGAGGCCAACCGGAGAAACTTCCTCGACCTGTTCCGAGCGGTAGCCGAGTTTGACGGGTTCAGAGCGGGCCAATTGATGGTTGAACGGTGCCGTCAGCCGGAAGAAGTCATCGACGCGGATATCTTCGCGTTGAAAATGGAGCACCTGGTCTACAACATCAAATCCCGGACATTCGCATTAGGCAACATCAAAATTGGGGACGTGCTGAGTGAGGTCTTATCCATGGTTCGAAGCCATCACGTTCGCCTCGAGGGCGATTTTGTCAATGTTGTCATCTCTATCCTTCTTCTCGAAGGCATCGGTCGAAGTCTGGATCCAGGCCTGGATCTCTTCAAGAGGTAGGTTGATTCTTTTGTCCCTCTGTTGATATCAGGGGCCTTCTCGGCCCAACTATTCCACAATCCATGACTAATTCAATTAGTGCTCTTCCGATCTTGCGGCAGCTTGGTTCCGGTGCGACTCTTCTTAGCTCCGTCCGTTCGGGCGATACTTCCATGCTTCGGGTTTGGGTTGGTCTCGAAGCGCGTGGCCTCCTCCAGGCCAGCATTGAGAGTGTGGAGCAGTGTGTGAAATATGACCTGTTGTCTCCAAACATATAACGGACGGAGAAATAGCAGCCTCTCGCGTTTGATCTAGGATTTGTGTCTATGCTTACACAAAGTTCGGACAACTGGACGGAGTTCAAGGTAATGTTTACATTTTCCAGGTCTTACGGGTACCTGCCTCGATTATACGATGCGGCCGCTGCAATGATTGATGCTTCAAAGTCAGTTCTCGACGTTTTTAGAAGCCGCCAGCTGATTCCTCCATTCGACCGCAGCAAGCTCAAGCAGTCTCTGGTCGTCAAGACTGAGAGGCTCTCTCGATCGATTTTCGACCCCAGCAATATTCATGAAACCCTGCTTCTGTCATATAAAGGTTCTTCGCCGTACTACTCACGACAGTGGTTTGGCTCGTAATATGTACATTGACTTGATGAACAAATAAATGACTTAGTTAAATAGACATCCCAACCATGCATACTTGTCTGCGATCAGAAGAGAAGATCAATAGCTCCTACGATTTTGTTTGCGATAAATTAGAGGTGACTGTTTATACATGTCCTTGCGATACATTAATATTGCTGTATAGTACAATGCCCTAGATACTGGTGAGAGGAGATGGCGGAGACAAAACCGTGAAAAGCACAATGAGCCCATACTCAAACAAGACAGGATACCACTAAACTCCATTACCAATTGCTTGTATAAAGCAAGAACACAGTCAAGCATGTGCACGTGAAGCGAAGAGATGAACAACAGCAAAAGAAGTGATGTCGAGAATTGAATGTTTCGTCCAACTGTCAGAGTCGCCCGCGCTCTCAGGTATGCGTTCTCCATAAGAAAAATGTCGGTTCATCCAATCGTACGCTTTCGCGTGTTATTACGGATTATTGTTCTCTCGCACGGCACCGCCGCTAGCTCTCCACCAGACGTCGCCGCCCCATCTCATTAGACGCTCGACGGCCGCCGTTGGGGTGTCTAAAGCTGGTCTGATGTCGAGATAGAATACTGGCTCGCCAGTCGGCTCGGGAGGACCGGAATAGTAATCAATCACGTAGCGGACTTCTTTGGGACCAGACGGCGTCTGTCGCAGGACAAACCAATCATGGCGATCAAAAGGTGGATTTGTTCTGTAGGATATTCCGTGTAAGCACGGTCTCAAAGTCAATGGAAATCACGTTCACTCACTCAAACTTTGCAGGATACAGCCGTCCTAGAGCTTGAAGTATCTGCGCCTTGGGGGTAAGCTCTTGTGGCCGACCCTTGAACCTGAGGAGTCGAGGTTCACTGGCTGGATCGATATTTCCGGTCATCTCCTGCTTCATTGCTTCTAGGGCAATGCCTTGCTCTCCCTTTCGGCACTTTTCCCACGCTTGTCCCAGGCCCTTGGCAAATATGCGCTCCCATCCAACTATTTCAGCCCAGGCACCTTCATTCAGGAAATTGTGGACCGCTACCATGGCTTCGACAGCATCCTGTGGCGTGTCGGTGTAACCTTTACGGAGCATAGCGTTGTACATTTGCTGGGGGGAGGGATACTCCCAGTTGCCGTCTGCATCGCCTCTAGGTATGGAGGAAGGCTCTCTTTCCACCGGCAGGTCTACGGTTTGATTCGGTGCTCGCTCTTGAGAAATCGAGGAGAACATGTAGTTAAGAGGGTTCAATTTTGACAAAGTCGATCTAGTTTCGGGAGCGGGAGGCCGAGGAGAGTCCGTCACGGTAGTTTTTGGCTGTACATAGAACGGAGAGTCTGCGGACCGAACAGGGCAGGAGCTGGAGGTATCAGACCGAGCAGACGGCGAAGACAAGGCTGGAGGAGCGTTGGAAGCATGCATGGGACATCCTGGCTGCACGAAGTTAATTAAAATGTTTCTGGGAGATATGCCAACAGCATCTTGTACTAACTGGAGGGGACGCATCAGAGGACGCCAGAGGATTTGGTGCCACAGGCGTTGGCTTTGGCTGCGGATCTGCCCAAAACCAACCCATATTGGAGGTACTATTACAGTATAAATAGCAAAGAAGAAGATGTTGAAGGGTAAAGATTTAATTTCAAATGCGTTCGAGGGTTGAAGCACGGATGAATCAATGGAGTATATTTCCTACTGTTTAACATCCAAAAACTTTCGGGCAGATGACATAATAATAATCTCCGGCAAGAAATGGATCA